TTAAATTATGTTTTATTTTTGTAAATTTACTTCATAAATGTTTATATTTTATTATATATACATATAATATATTATACATATTTAAGAAAGAGCATCTTTAAGTCCCTAAAAATTTAACCCTTAAGTTCCATTTACATTTCCAAATACACTTAAGTTGGTAGAAAAACACTGAATAAAGAATAGCTGAGAATATTATTAACTTGATATTAGGAAATAGAAGTGGATTTACTGGGGGTAAAAGAACAAAACGATGACATGAAAATCTGAGCTACTGCCAAAACCCTGCCCTCCATCCCCTAATGGATAACTATAAAGTCATCTGTCTTTCGGTTAGTATCCAGTGCACTGCCAAACCTTTTGTGAGGCCTCCCGAGAAAGCACGTCATATCTCTCCTTAAAGGGGGTGCCCCTTTCTTCTGGAGGTGCGGCATCCTCCCCGGTACAGTTAGCATCACTTCTCCGGTAAAGCGGAAAATGCTGTCCAGGATTTAGAGAGGAGTCAGATGTGACTTCATGAGACCCTAGGCATTTCTGGCAAATATATGGAGCTGCTTTCTCCCCACCTCACCTGCAGAAGGACCGGGGCTGACCTCGGCAGCGGCTGCCCATCCCCACACTGGCTGGAGTGATGTTCCTGCTGGTCAGAAATTAGTCAGTTAACCTGGCAAACCCAGCAGTCAGCACATGGTAGGAAAAGATGAGGGGGCTAAGAGACTGACAGAAACACAAAGTGCACCGACTCGTTGTGCCCTTAGATGATGCCAGAACAGAAGTCACCTGTGCCATTCAGATGATCTCCTACCTCTCGGGAGCAATTCAGTTTGTGAGAAATTTCAATGAGTTCAGCTTCTGCTTCAGAGCAAATGTTGCAGCCGTCTCCCTCCAGTGCAACGCTGTTGACCATCACAAAACTGAGGCAGATGGGAGCAAGCAGAGAGTCGGGGTTTTCTGTCTATTGTCTTCTCACAAAATGAAAGCTAAGCATCCACAGGGTGAAGGAACATATCCAGAACAGCTTTAAATCTCAACTCAACTAATCTGTGTTTGTAGCCAGGAGTTAATATTAGGAAATCAATATTGAACAAATAAAACAAAGTAGCATTATTGGAAGTAGAGTCCAATACACGGTAAAAGGATTTTTACCCGTGAATTTGTGAGAAATCCCAGATTACAGAATCTCTGAGGTCAGACTACCACTAACCTCAGCATCAAACCATGTGTCCTTGGGAAAGTTACTTAGCCTTTCTGTGCCTCATCTGTAAAATAGGGATATAAATAGTACACCCATGCCATTAGCTCATTGTGAGGATTAAATGAAATAATACAACAGAAAAGGGCCTGCCACTAGAAAGTACTCGGTAAATGTTAGATATTGTTATTACTATATAAAGTGAACCATGGACAACATTCAGCAGCATCCGTGCACTCAGCAAACAAGGCGGGGTTAGGGAGTGGGGTGCTGGTTAGAGCTCACAGACATGGATGGTTCCAAAGTCAATTATGATTCTCTTTTGCAACCACTTTACCTTAATTATATTTTCTACAGATTTCCATTAAATATGCTTTTATTTCCTATACACATATCAACTGAGCATGAAGAAGGTACAGGTCATAAAGACTGAAATTTAAAGAATTTTAGAGATGAGAGCTGACTAATCAAATGATCTGAAATATGATCAGCATGTTTAAAATGTCTTAAACTCTATGCCTAGGGAGAAAAAACTCAAACTGTGTCAAGTCTCCAGCATGACTCAAAAAAGAAAGGTACCAGGGACTCTGCCCTACAGGCCAAAGGAGGGAAGAAGCAAGCATTTGTAGAGAACCCACTGAAACCTGGTCTTTGGGAGCTTCGCATAGATCATCTCATTTGACAGGCCCAGTGAGCTGCTCCAGCCAAAGCCAACAGAGTACTGGACACCACGAGAGGGTATGATCAAAATAGGAAAAACCTTCCTCTCCCACCTTTTCTCTCTCCACTAGGTCTGCACCTAAAATGATGTGTATGGTCTGGTCCACTGTGCTGCAAACACACACACAGACCAGAAAGGGTCCAGAGATGGGCAAAAAAATGGCCACACAGAAAGCAAGCTGGTGCTGATGGTCAGACTAAAGGGTTAGGAAGCTTTTATCTAAAAAACAAGGCTGATGGGAGTGGGGGCTAGGCACAGAGCTATAGAACCAAATGATTAATGTGAACACAATTGCCACCAAATCCTAGGACACCATAATTACAGGAACATCCTTTATAAAGGGAAATAAATAAATTTTGAACAAATAAAAAATACCCTTTTACAAAGTGGGCTGATGAAATTTATATCACCCAGAGACAGTACTGACAGAAAGAATAAAATTCCCTCAGTGGCTAGGCAAAGTCATAGACTAACTGAGTCACTGTGGGTTGCTAGGGAAAATTAAGGTGGTGACTCCAAAGGGGACCATTATCGAGGACAGCCTGAGGCACCTTCATCAGAGACTATAAACCAAGCCAGACAGAGCATGGGTCTGACCCAGTATGGCAGTCACCTCTCAAAATTTGTTTCCAAAGACTAAAAGTCTTCATAAGAATTTACAAATAATACTCACTTAATTCCTTTCCATGAAAACAGCCTTTCAGGGTTGAAAACTTTCTCAAATCGTTTTATCCTGTATGTGCTCATCCTACATTCAGTTGCAAAAAGAAACTTTTTTTCAGAGCAAGCCATTTTAAAATCTCTTAGTTTTCATGAACACAAAAAGTACCTTTTCAGGATTTGCGCGCCAGACCAGCATTGTTAGTTCAGAGCTCCAGCTGGCCCCAAGCTATCAAGGTGCAACTCTTAGCTCCACTACTAACTAACCGTGAGGCCTGGGACAAGTGACTTAGTCCCCAGGGCCTCAGTTTCCTCACTGGTACAATGGGTAAAATAAGAGGCCCATGTAAAGATTAAATGAGTTAATATATGGAAGTAAAATGCTTAAAAACAGGCTGGCACATCATAAGCACTATACATATTAGCTATTAAAGTCTAAATCATCTTGCTTTCTGATTCCCAAGGAAAATAACTGGCCATTAAATGTAAGTTTCAAGTTAGAGTCACCCAAGGCCACACATTAATCATTCATTTAACAGAGATTTGTCAAGGGTGTACAATACACCAAAGCGAAAATCCTTGCCCTCTGGGAGCTTACATTCCAGAGCTTACATCTTTCAAAGAATACAAATTTCCTCCACACAACCCAAACAAGGCTTTCACATGAATTGTAGCAGATTCAAAATTATAGTTAGCAAGAGCTCTCATGTTGCAATGCTTTAGTGAACTACTTACTGATAGTGGAAGCCAATGTCATGGTTACCAGCAACAACCTTCAGCTGCACGTGATGCGGGTGTCTGAACATTTTCTGAAACCTCTCCACATCATCAGCCCAGGCCTGTAGGATAAAACAGTAACTGCTGAGACCCAGAGAACCTTCCCTTCCCTGTGGCTAATAAAACACACTCCTTAATTTGATGGTGAGAAATTAATTCCCCCATCCAAATCAGATGTTCATAAAGCTAATGTAAAAATTAGAATTTCTAATTCTATGTCAAATTTATTTTTCCAAAACCAACTTAATATTTTTTCTTTTAAGATTTTATTGGGGAATTGGGAGAAGGTAACAGACAAGTCGCTGTCCTTTTGTTCTTCAGTCTAGTTGTGGAGGACATCGCTTCACTGGCCCATGTTGGTATTATCATTGCGCTCTTCCTGGGTGAGGTAGATCAGTCGCCGGCCACTGGACAGCCGCTCACGGCGGCTCTTGGCAGCTCACATGGGCTGCCAGCCACTCACGGTAGCTTATGGTAGCCCACTGCAGTTCCACTGCAGCCTACGCCATCGCTGGCAACTCATGGCAGCCCAGCTCCAAGTTGAGCTGTTGTTCACCATCTTAGCTGTAGAGGGCGCAGCGTCACTGGCCCTAATATGGGATCCTAACCAGGGCCCTGCTGCTCAGAGCTGGCGCCCCAAGCCAGCTCTTAACCAACATGCCACTCGGCTGGCCCCCAACTTATTTTTTAATTATTTAATTTGATACTAAATTTTAATTAAATGGTATCACCCATCTTAAAACATTGACTAGCAACCCCCAAAATATTTGATTCATACACCTATTATTTCAAGATCCCCTAAAGATGATACAGAGACCCCCATCTTAAGAATCACATCAGATCTGGGCATTTTATAAGAACAAGCTCTTAGGAAATGTCAAGTAAAGTATTCACGTGTGTCAACCAAGACAAGGATGAGTACATCCCTCAGTCTTAGCATTTCCCTGTGGCCACAACTATGGGAGTGAGACCTGATGAGATGTGGGTGAAAGAAAGACAAAATCCAACAAATATTTAAAGGATATTCTGACATTTGCTTTATTAAACTTGAGAATTATGTTCATATAGTTCTTATTTTTATTCAACTTAAAAACATCAATTGGATACTCTAGGGTAGACAATATCTAATTGAATAGTAATCAACTTTATTCTAAAAGTTTTAAATACAGCCCAAACCTGGGGAAATACACTGTGTAGACAGTCCTTCAATACATCTACAAAGACTTCACTTTGATAAATAATATTTAAAGTTAGAACAATAAAAAATCAGAATAACATAAAATTCGAAAAACATAAAAACATAAAATGTTGCCCTTAATTTGGAAAAACAACATATATATCCAGTCTCATTTTATAACTGGTTGCTTTTTGCATACAGCATTCCTATTATCTCATATTTAATTTTGGACTAGATTATAACAAACATTACAATCCTATAATCAATGGGTATCTATCATATCTGGACCAAGACTTTCTTTGTACAGCTTTTGGATTGTCCAGTGAAATGCCAATGATTTTTTTACTATCTTACAAAAATCATTAGTGACTGAACATGTTTAATTAAGCAGTAAGAAGAGCTCTTTTTCCCCCATTAATTGCAGGAGTGTAATAAACAAAGCATTCTGACAGCTAAGTTAAGAACAGCATTTCTCTCTGGTTTGTGGAAAGGCTCCATCACCTCAATACCAGGACAGAGGTCTTGGGCCCCCTGAAGACAGAGGAACCTCATGCTAAGCTCCCATGGCTCCTTCTGCACCTCTCCCTCAGAAGAAACAAAGTAGAGGACAGTAGCAAGTAACTTTTATAGCACAGTTCTTATAATTTAATGGTTAAGTAAGAATGTAAAGTCACAGGGCTGGCTGAGTGGCTCAGCTGGTTAAGAGCTCGCTCAAGAGTTTGAGCTCTGAGCAACACAGCAGCTGATTCCCAGCCTGAGCTGAGCAGCCGCTGAGCTGCCAACAGGTAGCAGGATGGCTCAGCTTAAAAAAAAAAAGAATGTAAAGTCAAATTACATTTCCATGTGTATTGTAATTTTGGCAACAACTGAAATAGCAATCCATCTTGCCAATTTCCCCTTTCCCAAGAGGTTCATAGGAATGTGCATTTCAACAAAGTGACACCTGGCTAATCTACATATTTCCTAAATAGACAAACATAAGATTAGTCAACCTAACTCAAGGTTGTCATTACACACAGATCCTAATAATCTTTAAGATAGACTATAATTTTTAATGTTGGTACTAAGCAAAACTTCCAACCCTAGCTGATAATTGCTTCATGGATTATCTGGACTGTCTGTGCTGGACCCTGAAAGCAGGATTAGGGTGCCGGTATCACAGGGTCCTACCTGGGAGGAGCTCCACTTCCCTTCATCAAAGATATCCCCTAGAATGAAGACAACTTCCGGCTGCAACAACCACAGGGCCGTCTGGAAGGCTCTCTCCATTTGCCATTCCCTAGAAGCCAATAGGAGAAAGGCATCAGTCTGTTTCTTGGGTGGATCCCACATCTGTCTTACGGGCCATTTAAAAAGTGAACCAAATGGTCCCATTCTCCCTCTTCCATGGCCCCACCCTCGCATTCTCATCCACTGCTTGGAAGGGCCAAAGAGTCCATATGTGATTAAATGTGGGGAGAGAAGGCACCAAAGGAGTCAGCCTGCCCCTCCCACACATCAGAGGCTGACTTCCCCTGTGTTGTATCCAGAGATCAGGCCCCACATTGCACACTGAAGTCATCACTCAGTCATGAGAGCCCCAGGGGTCTGAGAGCTTAAGGCAGCTTTCCAAAGCTGCCCAAGTAGATTGTTTTTGCACCACACTGGGGAGATGACAGCATCTGGCTTAACTTGCACTTCTTCTTGAAGGTACCTCAACTTCCTGCCTGCCTTCAAAATTGAGGAGAGACAGTGAGAGAAACAGACTAGCCAATATCAAAACTAAATCCTGTAGACTTTGGACAAACAAGTAATCACCCTGTAGGTAAGCCAAGTGAATGAAAAGAGCCTGGGACCTGGAATCTATCTCACGGGCAATGATTAACATCCTAGCTCCACCCACTAACCAGTTGTGCAGCCTTGAGAATGTTACCTGCTCTCTCTGATTCCTAGTTTCTTCATTGGTAAATGAAGATAATAAAAACCTACATTCACAGGATAGGCATGGGATTAAATGAGATAGCACTTTTAAATGCACACAGTAGGTATTCAAAAACGTCAGTGTTGGCGCTAAGACAGAATCCTCAGGTCGGGCAAGTAGGGGAACAGAGAGAGAGCGAGCAGAGGCGCAGTCCGCCTGCGCCCTCGACTGTGGAGCTGTAGGAATCCAGGACACCGCAAGGTGTTTGTAGCATCAGGGAAAGCTCAGCTTCTGGGCCAACTGACCTGCAGGGAGTGCGACAGGAGCCCCAGGGTGCACGGGACACTGAGGCAGAAATCTCAAACCGGCCAAGCGGGAGAAGAGGGAAGCGAGAAGCACGGAGACGCAGCCTGCACCCCTCAGCTGTGGAGACACAAGCTGCAGTGCCAGGGTGAGCACTTGGAGAGCAGCAGGGGCTCTGTGGGAGCATTAGAGCTCACAGTGGCGAGGGGGCTTTTTTTTTTTTCTCTTTTTCTTTTTTCCCCCTTTTCTCTCAGACAGGAAAAAAAACAAAACAAAATAAAAACAAAACTTCATAGATAAGAGCCCACCCCCACCCTCCCTCAGAAACCTGCCTCCCCCTGCCCCCCAGAGCCTTAGGCTGACCCCTGGAGGAGCAGGGTCAGATTACAGAGGCACTCCTACTCCCAGGGGTTTGAGAAAATCTGCATGAGAAGAGGCTGTGGCAGTATGCGCCTAAACACACCTCCCCTGCCCCCACCTCTCCTGTGTGGCTCCAGAGGCAGAGCAACTTCAACTGCTGAGTCACTCAGGCCTCCCCGGCAGATGGCTCCTAGCAGCTCTGAAATCTCCACCCCCACCAACTGCCCC